TGCTAGCTAAAGGTACAAAGAGATTGGCACATGAGAATACACTTTTAAGTGTAGAGAATCGTATACTTCGAAAGGCAAATGAGACATTAAGCAAACGTCGACGCGCTAAAAAAATTCAACTACGTAATGGAGGAGTACTTACTGGACAGGAAGCTAAAGATATATTATCACAACAAGAGGTTGATAATCAGATTCAACGCGATGAGCATCAAAATAGGGGAAATTCTAATGGGGAATCATCTATTAGTCGATGTTGTAGTAAATGTGGGAAGACTGGTCATAATTCAAGAACTTGTCAAAATAGTATAATAGATCCTAGATTATTAGATTCTTAATAGTTTCAATCAATTGATTTAGTTGTTATTGAATAATATGAGTTTAAAATGATAAATTGAGGTAAAAGTGATCCACTCGCTGATATGATCCACTCGCTGATAAACCACGTTATGTGATATTTCAAGGTTTGTTGTTGGGAGGCGTAAGGTTACAAAGCCGAGCTTTTGCTCTCGGGTTAAAATCCGAGTCCGGCCCGAAAATGGAAACTAATATCCGTGTCACGCTGGGAAATTGGACGCCATAAATTTTCTACATCAAACTCTCATCATCCGTATCGATATTCTTATTTCATAACAAATTCTACAATTCCACCTACTCTCTGATAAAGAGTTGGAGATATGATAAGATCATTCGAATGCGTAAGATATGCCTATGGCCAATACCTTATTGTATAATCCGATGCAGATAGGTGGCGGTGAAGCATTCCCTTGCAATATTTCTCCAAAGTTTCGTTGATCCACCCCAATAAGCTTTTTTTCGAGATAAAGTATTTTACTAAAGAACTCATCTTCGACAAGGAATCAGTACCGTACTGTGCTCACAGCGTTTTGATACTGTAGGGGTTGATAAGGCTGTTCAGACCCGCGGGTTTGGTCTAGTTGGAAACACAACATTTCTCTCTTCTCATTGATTCATTCTATACTTCGAGGTCACATCATGCAAGTGCATCAATAACGGAATGATCACTCCGGGAAATGAGATGTGCCTGGAAAGGTACACTACATACGTCGGAATATTGACAACAGAGATACTTCCCTGGGACGCATCTCGTTGGTCAATGTCAATCCTTCGACATATAATACGTCATATTAGAGGTCGAGAGCTTCCCTTTCTCGAAGGGTGCATTCTTGCCCGTTGTTGAATGCTGGTTCTCATACCTCAATTGATGGCTCGAGGGTGCTGAGCATCAATAATTTTATAAGTGTGGTAGTATCAGTACTGCATCCGGATCATTTTACTTCCAGAGCACTTTGATTTGACAGCTGCCAGCTGCAGAGAGACTTAACAGACCACAAGTCTTTGCAAGTTCTCGAACGCGCCGTCTCGATTAACCAATCCATCGATTTTCTTGAAGCCAAGACTCAACATGATGCGGTATAGGAACGGTAATATTTGTTGATTCGTTGTTGGTATTATACCATGATTTCTATGCGACAAGCCCAGAGCGAATCTTGCTGCATTTTTCAATGCACTCACCTAAAAACCCCTCATACTTCATTTACCCTTCTTTCGTTCTGAAATACATGGATGAAGAGGCACATTCAAAATCCAGACCCAGACAGTCACATGATCGTCCCAAAAACCATCATGATTCACGATCCCAAGTTGGTTCATTGGTTCATTCGAAATCCGATACATCTACAACAACTAGCAGACCAAATATCCCTCACCACGTTCTCATAGTTCATCAATAAAAAACCCTGACAATGTTCTCTTTATCTCAAACGACTGCAGGAAAAAATGAGTCTTATCACATGTTTCACATCGCATAACATCCTTTCGCAAAGTGAAACACCACAACTGGGAAGTCCTTGGCGAGTGATGTGAAGCAAGCTAACTTTAAGCATAATGCACTACCATCACATCTGAAGATCTGATGATAGTGGTTTGCCGATGATTCGAAGTCGCGAGATCGATTGAAACGAGACGAAAATCTGGACAGAGCATCAACTCTGTTTTTTTGGTACAATGCGATGGATGATATGATCGCTATTATGATCATCACCATCTAATGATAATCCATATTTGGTATTGTTGTTTGGATATAATTCAGAGAGAGTTTTCCTGAGCTTGATACATAGCATATACCCTCTAAGGCCTCTACCCTCCACCGTCCACCCATCATGCCGAATGATCCCGACATCAGCACATCAACACATTCGCAACAAAACATCAAATCATCCAGTCTCTTATCCATCAATCCAAAAAGGAGTCAACCACTAACCACCAGTCACAACCTCTCAAACAAGCTTCCCAACTCCCCACTTCCAAGTTCCCACGTCCCAAGTTCCAACTCTCTCAATCGGACCGTGCTTAGCAGTTCCGAACTACCTGCTCTCACCGTTTTAAAACCGTCTGAAAGACCGATCATAAAACTTTTCCCTCCGTTTTTCCATTCCCATACATTTACTACACCATCTATGGTGGCTGAGTACGAACGTGAGGCCAAAGTCAAACTTCTATCTCCTGTTGCCCATAGATTTTGGGAAGCATTTGCCGTGCACCTGTAGTATATAATAATCGTGAAGAACTCACTCATCTCAACATTCAAAGCTCAAATCAATCAAAGCTTTAATTTCATTCCTTCATTATTAATCATCTCTCCCTTTTCGCGGCTAGTCCTGCTGAATACTTTCCTTAAGAGAAATTTGATATTTCGCCCCTATTTACTTTCTTTACACAAATACATACAAACAAACAAGCAAACTTCATATACCCAACGACTTTTACTCTATTCTCCCTCAATCAATCAAAATGCGATATTCAATCACCGCCATCACACTTGCTCTCTTGGCAACAGCCATCCATGCCTCTCCTATCCAATTACAGTCTCGAGAGTAAAAATTCCACATCAACCCCAGACCTTTCAATCAAAACCTAACAAAACCCCAGCATAATCATTATCGACTCCTCCTCCAAATCCTCCAACCCCACCCCACCAACCGGCGCTCCCGCACCTCCAGCCAACGCTCCTGCACCTCCAGCCAACGCTACCGCACCACTAGCCAACGCTCCCCCACTTCAAGCCAACGCTCCCGCACCTCCAGCCAACGCTACTGCACCACTAGCTGGCGCTCCAGCACCTCCAGCCAACGCTCCTGCACCTCCAGCCAACGCTACTGCACCAGCCGGCGCCCCTGCACCTCCAGCTAACGCTCCTGCACCTCCAGCCAACGCCCCTGCACCTCCAGCCAACGCTACTGCACCAGCCGGCGCCCCTGCACCTCCAGCTAACGCTCCTGCACCTCCTGCCAACGCTACTGCACCAGCCGGCGTTCCTGCACCTCCAGCTAACGCTCCCGCACCTCCAGCCAAAGCTCCCGCACCTCTCGCCAAGGCCCTCGCCGCCCCACCAACCTCCGCCTCCATAACCGACGCGACCCCCATCCCCCTCTCCAACAGCAACAGCAACAGCACCAGCTCCTCAGCCCCTAGCACCATCACCGCCACCGTAACCGATCCAAAAACTAACGTAACAGGTAACGTGTTCCCCGGTACGGCCGCAAACTGCACTACGTTTTTCATCGTCTCGGAGGGAGAGACGTGCGATGAGATTGATGCTAAGAATGGCATTACGCTGGATGTTTTGCGCAGTTTGAATACCGGGATTAATGCTGGGTGTATGAATTTGAGTGTGGGGCAGGCGGTTTGTGTTAAGACTTAGGGTTTGGGAATTGGAATTGGAGATGAGGGATGAGGGATGGGAAGAGGGGAGAGGGATGTTGAGGGATGGCGGATGGTGATGGTGATAGTGATATGTGATAGGTGATGAGTGGATTTGGAGATGTTGGGAGAGAGCGTTGGTGTGGAATGGTCTGGACCGCAAACAAGCAAGCAAATCTCGGGCAGCTTTTAAGTCAAATCACGCTCTTACATTTTATAAGATCCCGATATAATGTACTTGGCTAGACTGATGCTTTTATTGGCGATTAGGTCAGCAAATCATCTATTATGAGATGATGATAAATATTAGTCTCCTATCAAATACACCGCAAGCCCTAATCATCTTTAGAAGTGCTTCTGAGATCCAATTCATATATGACGTTGATACTGTCTATAAAATATTCTTTCAATACATCTTGACAGCCAATGATACACCTTAGCTCTAGATGATTTTGAAACTTCATAGCCTATCAAATATGTTGCTTCTGTCTGCTGAGAACAAGAAATTAAGATGAAGTATAACAAAAAGGAAACAAGATTGCTGGCCTATCAGATGAGAAGGTGGCTTGTTCTGTACCCTCATGACTTGGCTAGTCATCGGAAATTTCAAAAAGTGAATGAAATAAAGGTACAAATTGATTAATTTGAACTATATTGTGAATCCCGAGCTGATTCCAGTTGCTTCTGTAGTCATCGGGGATTTCAAATAGTAAATGAATCAAAGGCACAAGTGGGTTGACTGAAACTCTGTTTTGAATTCCGACCAGATTCTTGTTACTGCACAAACAACCCGAGCCACCTACACATACTGGGGACAAGGAAAAAAGAGTACTCGAAAGTTTTAGAGGGATAGTGTTTACAATAGTGAGAATGCATCCATTGGCAGGTATGTGCTTCAAATTGTTTTCGATGACCATGCATCTGGGAAATAAAATCTTTCAGGCTTCAACTTCTCTCTTACTTGGAGAGAACAAAAATCAATGATTTGTGCTTAGCAGCTCGAACATGTTTGTTTCTATTTGATAAGTTCTAACTTGTTTTGTTTAGCGTTGGGACGAAGGATGGGGAGGATATCCAGGGAACCCAAGACCGAATATGCTCCCTCTCAAAAACGCCTGGGAGAACTTTCACTCAGTTGCCAGGCAGCAATGATCATCGGAGCATATGAAGCGGAGAATACACCATTAGGACAAACATTTGAAGAAGCATTTGCGACCGTCTCATCGTTTCGATACAGAGGGAAAGAGGCATGTTTGGGCTGGCAAACTAGGCGGTCGCTACTTAAGCAATGGAGAAAAGATTTTGAACGACAAGATCTGGCTGGAGTTGTGTGGGGTGATGTTGCTACATCTAGGGAATATCAGGAGCCTTCGGAAAAGGATCAGAAAATGGCCGCAAAAATCTGCAATTTCGAAACACCGTCGGAAAAAGCTGGCTTGATTCTTCATTGTCCGGCTGAACAAGAGGAAGACAATATTTCGAATCAAGAGGTTGTGGAGCTTCATGTCGGCTCGGAAAACGAAGTGATCCATGTCAGCAAGATTCTCTGTAAGAAGATCCCATACTTTTCGAAAATGTTTGAAGGCTCGTTTCAGGAAGCAACGTCAAATTCTGCTTCATTTCCCGAAGATGAAGTTGACGCTTTCCACGCTTTAATCTATTGGGTCAACAACGGATATTTGCCTCCATGGATTATTTATCTCGACGCCAATGGAGATGATACAGACCGGAAAGTTTCTTCAGCTTCAGTCCGGGTCCAAGTGGGATTTGATTTTGTTGGGCTTTATGTGCTAGCAGACAAATTCTGCGCGTTCAATTTGATGAATTTCATAACGGACTATGTCATAAGAAGCCTGGAGTTGAACGAGTCTGTGTTGCCGATCGAGGATATCTCAGAAATATATGCGAATGCTCCAGCAAATACCGGTCTAAGAAGGCTAGCCTGTTATTCGTTTTATTATTCTGTAAAATCTTGTTCTCAAACTAACTGGCCGACGAAGGACCTCGCTTCCCTTTTACAAACTGACGATGGCTTGGCAATTGACTTCATCGACCTCATGAGATCACGGCCTGATCATGGTGGAATCACCATGGTGGAATTTGCGACCGAAAGAAGCTCAAAGAAAAGTCATCAGGCTTGAGGCGTTTGCAAAGGCGTGATTTAGTGTCGAACAAATTTGAGGATTTGGTACCATTAGGTGATGTTCGCATCTAAGAATTTGGTGTAATGATATACCCGGTGGATATGGTGTATTGAAGGAAGTGGTGATAATTGTATAAGCTGTTTGATCTCATGTATTGGAATGGATATACAAGAGATGCAGTCAGTCTTTTTAGAAGACTTCATGGATGTGGTGATCGCGACCCCAGAAAATCATTTCGATTTTTATCTGCAGCTATAGATAGTCATATCTGCATCATGAAAAAACATGCTATACTCATAACAGTCTTCAATCGCGTGCCGGTGAAAGTAAATTGCCAAATTCTGTAATCCGTGACACCCAAAATACAACTCCCATTCAAAAATCATGCTGTGAAGAGATCTGTACTTGCGAGTAATGAACAAAACAATCATCGCCGATTAAGAGCGCCACGGACGCCTCCAAAACAAATACAAGGAGTTTAAGATGGCCTAAGGGGGTGATTCAGATATTGTAGAAGACTATATCAGGCCTTGTAGAAGAAGAAGCTTTGTGATAATATCGCATCAGATCTTGGTCGGGTCCCACAGAGGAGTTTTGGGTAGTCCAAACGTGAGCCCGATGTAGCACCCATTTGACGCCGGCGGGAAGTAACGACCTTCTTTTACAATCCCGTCAGACACGGGAGAAGAAAGAAGTAAAGTCATTGAAGTTGGGATGAGATGCAAGCCGCCCAGTGTATCCGGGATTTCAAGCGTGGTACCGATGTTTTAGGTCCGCTGTAAGGTAAGTGCGATTAATAATACTCGAGTATACTTGAGGAATACAACATCTCACTTGTGTATGGACTACACGTTTGTTGTGTAGATGTTTGAGTAAGAGTTTCCGGGGATGATTTCGGATGAGATTATGAGACCCAACGACTTCCACCTCGCTTCAAGGGGCCTCATCCCACCATCCCACCATCCATCATCAATATCCATGACTGCCATACATCCCTTAACCCTTTCACAATAATCATGCTTCACAAATAATCACAACAATGACCACGGATAAGACAGATCTTTACGTTTTTACAACACAATATTGAAATGATTATGTTGTGATCCTGAATTTGATCTTGGTTTGCTCGAGTTTTTACAATATTCAGCTTCGGGATCTCTTCCAAGTGGGCGGGATCCAAAAGAAATGTAAGGTTACTACTCGTAATATTGAAGAAGCATCCGCGGGATATGCCTATATACAGCATCTCAATGGCTTTTCATTATGTCAATCGTCGCATTTGGGATACTGTAGTAGTATGTTCTCTACAGGAAAGTAGCTCAGAGATTTTTTATTTAAGTTACCCATCTCTTACTACTATCTATTGAAGTTCTCTTAAGCTTTTAGCTTGAGTTACTTACTCCTCAACAAAACAAGATGGCAGAAAATAGACCAACTCTCCATCATATGGATGTGAGTCTATCCCTTCAAATTCAGATTCTGCCAGCTAACCGGAAGCCCGAACTCCCAATCTCAACGCATCCTTTGGCTGCTCGAAGAGCTAGGTGTCGAATATAATGTCGTCCACCACTTCCGCAAACCTGCCGACGATGCCATTGCTCCTTTCCGATCTCCCGAATCCATCAAAGCCCTCGGCCCATATGGCAAGGCCCCAGTTCTCATAACCGGTGCTGCGGATGGTAATCGATACATTCCCGAGAGCGATGCTATATGCACATACCTACTTCGCAAATTCGATACCGAGGATAAGTTTAGCTTGCATAGTGGTGACTGGATCAGAGATGAAATTCTCAACTCTTTCAACCTTACGACATTCGGACGATCGGTTTATTTCATCCTTTTCATCGATTTTGATTTTATCAAGAACGGAGTTACAGATTATTTTGATGGGCCGGAGATGAGGGATATACTCACTATATTGGATGGAGAATTGAAGAATGCACCAGAAGGGGGCTATTTCATGGGGAAGAGTCCTGGCAGAGCTGATGTTATGATGGAATTTCCAATGAGTTTTGTAAAGCACAGGAATTGGATTGATCTAGAGAAGGAATTTCCTAGATTGGACGAGTGGTTGAAGAGGGTTTATGATAGACCTGCTTGGAAGAGAGGTTTAGAAAAGGGCAATGGTTCTTATGACCTCAGTGTCTTTCCCAAACGAGCTGTGATTTCGTGATTGTGTTGTTGATTTTGTGTTTCAATCGCGCAATTGTTTGGTGCTATGCACCTGGTTGGGATTTCTGAGGGGCTGGGATTGTTTCAACACTATCTCTCACGCCGTGTAAGGTTTTGGTTAATCTGCATGCAAGACCACCGCTCTCATGTTGTTTAATTTACGGAGTATACATGCAGCTTGAAATTCATTGCCAGTTTGTTGCAACCTGACACTGTTGTCCGAAACAAGTCAAGTTAGATGGTGATGTGCCCGTATTCTGATTCATTTGGAGAAGAATTTCGTTGTCGTTTTATACCGAGACCATTGCCAACCAACTCTCTCTGTGGCGCAGCACTCAAGCCACACATAGTTCACGATTGCAACTTCTCACCCCTCCACGACGACATGGCTAGTAATGTAAGCCAAATCTACAATATCCTTCACCCTCTCATAAGCCCATTCATCTCCTTTCTCGTCTTCATCGATCTTTATATCAATTTTATGTTTTCTATCGCACCCGACATGGAAGACAAGCACAGCTAGCAAAGTCGTAAATATATCAAATATTATACAGCTTCTAAGTCGTTTGATCAATCGGGTTTTAGTGAGCTTATGGAGCAAGAAATGGGATGATATTGAAAGAGAATGGAAACCTTGGATGGAGACTGGACTGATCGCTTTGATTTTTATAATGATCTGAGGATGAGATGGGAGATTGATGGGGGATTGATTGATAGGATGTTGGATGATTGGTCGACCGCTTTTGATGATGGGAAGGGATCGAGGAAGCTTGAGAAAGGAGGGTCGAGGGAGTCAGAACGAGTCAGAACGCGGCGAAGCTATGATTGAGGGCTCCGGAAATAGAGTCGAATGATCGACAATTGAGATGGAAACAGCCTTTCTTGAGTTCTACAAAACGATCGGTCTCGTGATTTACACGGAGAAGGCCGTTTGAGATCTCTTGATAGCTCAACACACCAGGAACACTATTGACAATCGATGAGTGTGTGATGGACAATGGGAGAGTAGGCAATATAATGGCAAATAGCGATTAGTTGAATCAAGGAAGCCTTGTTCTACGAGGAGGCCATGATTTGCAGCTTGGGAGAGCAGGAAGGAGGAAGCCAGCATCAACCCACCGAAACATATGGACCCAGCACATCACCAACGAATTACGATCAAACCTCAGGCTCTACCCGCTCGGTTTCTTGATTTTCGAACCTAAGATCCATTCTTATTGAAGCTCATTGACGTTAAACCTCACAGCCTTACGATAGCCCCACTACTTTGTCAACCTAACATCGTGTTTGACATAAATAGTGCCGATGCTTCCGCAATACACATTTGACCACGACGGCCCCCGAATTTCTTTTCTTTCAATATCGATACATCGATAAATCATCTTTTGGTTTCTTACGACGAGCACAAAAAAACAAAAATGGCCGAACCATCCACAAACAAACGCTCCATCATCATTATCTTCCTCGCAATTACACTCTTCGTCATACCTTTCAGCATCCCTTTCATCGCCCTTGACATGATTCACATTCCATACGTCTCCCATGGCCTAGCTTCCCTTTTCTCATGGATGGACGTGATATTTTCACCGATATATCCGTTCTGGGCACCCGTATTTCTCGGAATTTCCATCAAGCTATATCGACACGAGCCGTTTCCTAAGCAAAAAAACTGGATCACTACATCGATATTGATATTCATGCAACGCTTTGGAGATGTTATTCTGGATACCATGACGTTATTGGGGGTTTTCGATGGATTCTGCAGTTTCGGGCATTGTCGACGCGAATATATTCAAGCTGCTTCGTTTGCTTTTGTGATTGTTGGGGAGATTGTTGGGTTTCCGTGGGATGCGAAAATTATTCAGATGGGGGTGGAGAAATTGGTGGTGGAGTGTGGGAAGGAGGCAGCGAAGGAGGCAGCTGCAAGTACTGAGGATGAGATGGAAAAGGGTGTTGTGGGTAAGCCTGCAGAGGAGGTTGTATATCTGGATGTCGTAAAGTCTGGGTTGCATGAGGAACAGATACTTATTGATGTTGTTCAAATCGAGGGGAACAAGCCTTTGGAAATGCCCGAGGGCGATATGGTCAAGTAGGTGTCCACTAGTCCAGACTGCGGTCTAGGTCTCAAATATTTCAATGTTGGAAGATGCACGAATGTTTGAAAATGGTTCAATTATTCTGGTGGATATATCGCCCCATTGAATGACGAAAATCTTTCCTTGTTTGACTCCCATCCGGGCTATCGAAAATCCTGTGGTCGAAGTGGAAGACATTCAATAGTTGATATCAAATCTACTTCGAAGAGAAGACAATTGTAGCAGCAACTGATAATGAAGCAACAGCGGACGTACCGTTACGTTAGATCAACTTCTTTTGCCTCCCAACAGGTTCGCTAGCTTCTAAGAGAATTTTCCAATACGTACAGCATATTTCACCATTCATAGAAGTAGACAGTCAATTAAAAGCTTCAATTCGCATTCCAAATGAAAGATAATTGGGATGCATATGAGGTACCTGACCGAAACAAGTTTGAGCTTCTCGCAGGTCAATATTTATCAGATGTCATTCAGCAAATCATGGAAGAACCGATTCCCAAACCAAGGCTTGCCGGTGACACCGAAAACGTAGAAGACGGGGTTGAATACACGGATTGCTTCTCACCCGTCACCCTCAACTATGGACTTTACAATATACTGAGTAGCATTAGATTACGAAGAATTCAACCCGAGCGATGGAGCAAAAGATAGAGCCATTCTGGAGGAATCATCAGACTGGCTGGAAGAAAGTCCACTTTACATATGGATGCCGTGGCCGAAAGAAATTGATGAGAATATCGCTGCCGTATGCGAAGAGAAGACACGTGAGCGAGGGACTTTTGGATGTGCTGTAGGAGGGTGCATATGGAAAGATCTTTAAGGGGCAGTGATCTCGGCTGGCAGTTTTCGGATGTGCTTATGAGTTGAGAAGTTGCGGCGTTTATGTCTACTTCAAATGTGGTTTCGTCGGTAAGTTCCCAAAGCGGCCCCTTGCTGAATAATAATGATAAATGGCATAAATCATGGGATCAACCACAAATATTGTCAACCAGCATCTCCCCAGAATGCAGAATGCAGAATGCCTCACGGCGCCCTTCACTTGCTTACCCACACAGTTACACAAACATCACAAGCGTCCGATAAGTAACCACAACATCTTCTCTATTATCTCTCCTCATACACGTGACCGGACGTGACCGGATTCCCTTTATCCACCAATCACAGCACACATTTTCGCGGATATGACTAAGAACCCCTCCTGCTTATCCCCGAGCTGACATCCCCATCCACCCCACCAGCATTACCACTGACTCAACCCCTCATGCCCCAACCTCCCGACCCCCGAACCGCACGAACACTCGAGTCAAAAATAACGACTCAACCCAAAGAACTTCATCTCCTTACCCCAATAATTCTCAAGCATCTCGATGAACTCTCTCCTGTCCGCACTCCGAAACCGGCTACCATGTCCCAATACACTCTTCAGCACATGCATGAATCAAACGGTTATGCCGATCATTTGATTCATCTCCACATGTCTTCAACGTTGCTTGACCTGTGCTCCAATGGTCCCTTGATGGCGGAAGATGCCCCAGTGTACTCGAATATTGGACCCTTTATTTTATGCAGTGAGATTTATTTCTGCGAGAGGGTGATAAGATAGGGTGTTCATGAATCATGGGGTGAGGCGATGGATTATGGGAATTTTGGGTATATAGGAGAGAGTATTCTGCTGGTTTTATGTGTGCTGTATATAGTTTTGTATCTTTTGATTGATAAAACTGTTAGATCTTTTGGATTGTTCATATCCTATACTGTCTCTTTCTCATACGATTTTTACTTAGAAGATTCTGGTAATCTGTAGCAACCTTACCATTCTTTTTACCTCAATTACTTCATCGTATTTCTACCCGATACCCACGCAAGTCTTGTACTTGTATCGTTGAGAGATCACTTTTGGAACTCGTTTTAGAAGATACCCATATATTTTTCACAATTGCAATATATCTTGTGATTTTATTCAGCTTCACATACTCAACATGGGATCCATCGCAAGAAGACAGATTGGCGAAAGTCACCAATGGTGGAAAGAAGCTATCGTGTATCAAATCTACCCTGCCTCCTATCTCGATACCAACGGTTCAGGAGATGGTGACCTCAATGGCATCACCTCCAAATTACCTTACATTAAATCACTCGGTGTAGACGTGGTATGGCTCTCACCCATCTACGAATCACCCATGAAAGATATGGGCTATGATGTCTCCGATTACCGGGCCATCAACCCCATGTTCGGCACCATGGAAGACTGGGAGCGTCTCGTGGCCAAAGCCCACGAACTCGGTCTCAAACTCGTCATGGACCTCGTCGTAAACCACTGTAGCGCCGAGCACGCCTGGTTCAAAGAATCCGTATCCGGCGGCCCTAATGGTCCCAAGCGAGACTATTACATCTGGCAGCCTCCCAAGAATGGCAAGGAGCCCAGTAATTGGGGCGCCATGTTTGGTGGTTCATCCTGGGAAAAAGATCCCTCGCATCAGACAGATGAGTATTATCTCCATGTCTACGACGTCAGCCAACCAGATCTCAACTGGACCAATCCGGCTCTGCGTAATGAAGTATGGGATATCATGCGATTTTGGCTTGATAAAGGATGCGATGGGTTCCGTATGGATGTCATCAATTGCATCTCCAAGGAACCCGGGTATCCGGATTTCGAAGTCACCGATCCACGCGCAGAATTCCAGTTCGGTATCAAGGGTAACTTCAACGGACCACACGTCAAAGATTACTTGGAAGAAATGCACCGCGAAGTTCTGCAATATTACCCCGAAGCATTCACGGTCGGCGAAACCCCCGGCATCCACACGCCCAAGGGTGCATTAGGATTAGTGCAAGGAGGAAAACCCCTCCAAATGATCTTTAATTTCGAACACATGTTCTTCGACATCCAGGAAGGGCAAAAACCCTTCTTCCCGCGCTCTTCATGGAACTTGACGGAACTTAAGAAAATCCTCGGCGATTGGATGTCCTACAATGCCGCAAACGATGGCTGGGATTCCCTGTACGTCGAGAACCACGACCAACCGCGTATTCTCGGACGTTGGACCAGCGATCGCCCAGAGTGGAGAGTGCAAGCTGCGAAGATGCTCGCACTGTTCCACGCCACTGGTCGCGGAACGGTCTTTATATACCAGGGCCAGGAAATCGGCACTGGAAATAGCACGTGGTGGAAAAACGAAGAGTTCCGAGATCTGGAAGAGATTAATTTCTTCGCGGCAGAGAAGGAACGAAGGGAAATTGCTGCTCCGGGCAAAGAGGTTGATATGACTGATGTGCTGAAGGGTATCCAAGGATACGGAAGAGATAATTCTAGAATGGGCATGCAGTGGGATGACTCCCACAACGGGGGGTTTTCCAATGGCACACCGTGGATCAAAACGAATGAGGAATACAAGGAGATTAATGTGGCAGCTCAAGATGGTGTTAAGGGGAGTGTACTCGAGTTCTGGAAACAGATGATTCAAGTTAGGAAAAATAATCGCGTCTTGTGTAAAGGTGGATTCGAAATGGTGGATCAGAAAAATGAAGAGGTGTATGCCTATGTGAGGAGAGGTGAGGGTAAAGAATATCTCATTGCGTGTAACTTTAAGGAGTGGGGTGTTACGTGGGATGTTCCGGTTCAGAAGGGAAGTTTACTGTTTGGAAGTTATGAGGAGGGTGTGGAGAGTGGGGAGGCAGAGGGCCAAATGAAGTTGAGGCCGTTTGAGGGTAGGATTTATGTGAGGGATATTTGATGGGATGGGATATTGGGAAGATGGTTGGCTGGTTTAGTTTAATTTCTTGGGAATAGTTTAGTTTCATGCAATCTTATTTTTCTTTTGAAAAAGAAATTCTGGCTTGTTGCTCGTGTCCTGTGTATGAATTGAATTGAACATTTCTCTGCAACCTTGGTAACTTTTTCATATTGGACTTCGAAATATAAATAGACCTTACCAATTCCTGCCCCTACCCTTACCGACAGACTGAAGACAGAAAACTGGTGGAGAATATTCAGACAGCAGACTTGATAGCTACTACATATCTTTCAACAAACCCAGCACCATCACTCCTCACTCCTCAACCCTCAACCCAAACACCCGATTCATCATTCACAGTACAGTACAATACTATCACCCTAACCCAACAAGCACTTGTTCCGTTGTGTGTTATCATGTACGCGAGTAATGGAGGGAGACCGTAGTAGAATGAGATAAGATATTTGGAGTCTGGAACGAGGAGGTGAATATAATAGGATCAATAGTTACTCAGGCAATATTAGAGAGTTTTATTAAAGTATGAACTTCCCATGTATGGGATTTATTATTGAACCCTCAAGTATTACTTAGAGATATCCCCATTCAACTCCCCGCTCTATTTTTGACAAATGGTCTCGCTGAGAACCCCACAAACACCCACAAATACCCATCATAATCATCAAATCATTACTAAACATCAAGCATACTCCTAATCTGCTGCGGAGGTGCTGAAGCAGAAATATTACTAATGGTACTTGCACCTTGTTCTGACTCCACTTGAGTCACTGAACTTGCTTCTGAATCTCTGGATCTTATCGGGTTGTCCCTAAATCTTCCTTGGATATCCAGATGCGGAGGGTATGGCACACCCGCAGCTGTTCTTAAAGCTTCCACACCTGTCATCGGGTGCTCCATGTTTCTTCTATCTCTGGTAGGTGATGGAAAATCGTCCAGTTCCACCCCTCTCTCCAATCCTCTTGTTGTTGGGACTCCACCTCTCACCTCAGCCACGTTGGCAGTTATCCTCTCTTGCATACTGGCCATCTTATTGTCACCATGTAGGAAATTCCACCATCGCGGTTTTTTGGTGTATCCTATTTCTTCATCTGCTGCTACATCACGAACCCGTCGCTGTCGAAGTAGTTCACGATCCTCGTTCGGATTCACGTAGCCAGCGATCTCATACATAAGCAATATGAGAGCTATTGGTCCCCAACCTAAAGGATATACGAATTCCAGTTTCGCATGAATATTGAGAGGCGATATCGGAAAATAGAATGATATCGTTGCGATATATCCAATCATTACTAGAGAAAGGAAAAGAGTGAGGACAATTTTAGCGGGAGTATGTCTAAAGAGGGCAGTGAGGCGGTTCCAGAAGCCCTGTTCGTGAGTTATGTAGTGATATACCGAGTGTTGCAAAGAGTAAATTGTTGTCAGCCACCCCCCCAAAAGAAGGAAAGCTGCAATTTTAAAACGAATATCAGTAGCAGCTGGTGCAGCAATAAGATTGGTCTGGTCCAAATCTCGTTGCTTTTCAAAGGAACCCCATGATCTTGGTATAACCAATAAAAGGTTCAACCAGAAGAAGAAATAGAAGACCAAAGGAATCACTAATTCAATCTTTGTTCGTTTATCATCCTCCCTCAGTGCACGTCGATTCTCAGGGATATCAAGCATTTGTCTCTCTTGCCAACTGCCCCAATGCCTTGCACTCTCCCACACGGCCGCCATTGTTGCTGGTAGCATCAAGAACCAGAAGAAATTCGTTAAAGCGAATGGTAACTCTGGTAAAAAGTATCTGTCGACATCAACAGAACTTATGCCGCTTATGCCCCCACAAGTTCCAATTATGAGCATCCAATACCATTGCCATCTTCTGCTGACTGCGCGAAATCGTTTTCGAGGAGATGTACTTGCTCGGCCGTGTTTTCGTAAATTGATCAATGTGAACATGATGCTTATCAGAAATAAGATTCCCATCGCAAGACCAATCTGGGAACGTGCCCCCATCGACTTGATCGGAGAATAACACGATGTACTATTAAGAAATGTGCCATTTTGGAGTAGATGAGGGGTATAGGGTTCGAAGAGGATGAAGCAGAGGGATCCATTGGAAAATGTGCCATTAGAATAGTATGTATAGTTCCAATGTTTCAATGTTGTGAGATTATAATGCACTCCTTTGATAAAAGTATCGCTAGCATTACTACCAGGTGGAAATGGAATAAGGTCGCGACTATCCAAGGAAGCCATCACGAAAGTTCAATCCTTTGGCAGCTTGCATTGAATAAGTTAAGTCTTCACTGGTCCTCTGAATTTTGGGCATGAGGATCAATAAGAATAAGTTGTATTGATTTTGGGATAAGAGTACTCGTATGGAATGTTCGATAAGTTATCAAGCTAACAATGCTTCATTTTATGTCTGCTTGCGGGAAATCCGGACACACCATCGAGAATATGAAGTGAATGGAAACCTCAATGATATCTAAAAATAGGGAGAAAGTTGGAGGAAGTGAATTCCGAGTTCCGAATCTCGATAATTATTTGGATTGAAGCATGGAAGAGAAGAGGGAGGGGAGGGAGAAATCCACAACAAGGAAGCTCAAGCATAAATTCTCCACATGGTCCGTGCATTTATCATCTATTTCCCCCCAGTTTCACTAAAAGCTACACGACAGCTAAAACCTTATGGAGTTCTCATACAAAAATACCTTTTCGCAGAAGTCATTGAATATATTGACAGATGTGCAAACAAACAAATTTAATTAAACAGTCAATATGACATCCGCAGATGAAGAAAACTCATATATCGATTACGAAACTTTCCTCTCTCCTACATTTTCCCCTTCATCATTCGCAAACTCCCTAGTTCTGGGGACAAATAACCCTACCGATACCCCCCTCGACCTCTCCACACCTCTCTCTCGTGTCCTTTTCGATGCGCAAGAAATAAATACCCATATAGATACCCTCACAACGAAAAGCGCTCTTTCTCTCCTATCGCATACTCAAGATCAGACTGAATCGAGCCAGAGGATAGTACAAGAGATAGACTCGCAAGTCGCAAGTCTCAATGATGGATATAAACGACTCGAAAAGGAAGTGTTAGTACGATATGAAACCGCAGAGGAAGTCCAGACTCTCGCCAGCAGGTTATGGGAAACCGTTAGACTAGGGCGAGTCGTAGCACGATGTTTACAATTGGGAAGACAACTTGAGATTCAACTATCTGAGATTGGGAATACGGGTGCGCCTGTTAAAGTTCCAGGAGCGAAGGAAGATCACAAGGCATTGGTACGATGTTCAAATACCCTTCTGAGTATACGAGAGCTTCTTCAGAAAAGTAGCTTGGGGGAAGAAGGTTATGGTTTAGAAAGAATAGAGGTGGTGCGGACGCTTCAAACTTCCATCATCAATCCCGCAGAACGAGTCGTACTTTCCAGATCACAGCAACTTATCCGCGAATTCTCAATGAGTAATTTATCATCTAGCAGCAATATATCAACATATACGCAGACGAGGGATACAAAAGAGCGCACAGATTCGGCCCTCAAAACTTTATACCTTCTGTCCTCTACATCAGGACTTAATAGCAAGAATGCGAAGAAAATACGATGGGAGCCGGATCTCCTCATTTTATCGCTACAGGACTACCTTCGTACTGCTCTAACTAGCTCATTGGCCTCTCTGTCTCGCGCCCTGGCTACACTTCCTACACTCGATCGTACTCTCCTCGAAGTATCCGCTCGATGCCAAAATATTCTGGCTCTAGAATCACTACTTGCATCTATGCAGCCTCCGCCACATCCGAATTTACCATCTGAAGATATGGCGCCCACCAATTTTTTACAACCTCTTCTCACATCTCTGGAGACTGGTTCATTACCGAGTTATTTTTGGAGAACTTTGGCAGGCGGATTGACTACAAAAGTACAAGAGATTGTCAATAAAGGTGGTGTTAGCGCCAGGACGCTGAGGAGTAATCGTAACAGTGTTAGAGACGCAATACGGGAATGCGTTGTGAAAGGTAGCAGGGCGCCAGCTGGAATAACTGCTCTAAAAAGCGAGAATAAATCGGATGGTAGCTGGGAACGAGAAGTGGCAGTAATGGTCGGAAGTGTTATGGGTCCACTAGGTCGTTGAACCAAACCAGTTATCCGGCAGAACAATGAATGAGTCGGATAAAGAGTCCAGACGTCTCGATCTCAAGATTTCGGAGGCATGCCCAGTATGCGTGCGGCTTAATAAAGCGTGGGCTCCCGCCATGTGGATTCGCTCGCCGTGTGTATGTGCTAACGGGATAGTTGCCGTCCCAAAGTTTCTGGGTGTCAGATGGAGGTGCAATATGCAGGAAGATGGATGAATGTGTAGGCTAAAGATATACCATCATATGATTGAATGAAAACAATGCTTGAAGGCACTTTAATGTATCAATATTTATCATATTACACCGATACATGTTTCTATATGCTGTTTACTAAGTCCAAATGGGTATGACACCTCAGCGCCTACAACATCCCAGGTCTCTTCTCATCAGTCCATCCAAACGCGCTCATCGCCTAACTCAAAATCTAAGATTCATTCTAGTAAATGACTTACACTCCTCTCGTCTCATAATCATAAGTATTCACAAGGTGAATATACCGGTAGTAATATCAATCTCCAAGTCCAACATCCTGTACTACTCATCTGATGTATGAAAAATTACTAAACGCATGCGATATAACATTTTTCAACGATATTGGATACAATACATAGGGTGGGGCCAACCATACATACCATGGTTAGATTCTTGCAGGCTTTTACATGAAAGTCTCGGAATATTGTTTTAGACGCGTAACAAAGGTATTGGGCGAAAGGAAAGGAAAGGTGGAATGAGGAACTTCAAATTTTCTTTTCAAAGTACATTATCCGAGAGTCCTTTACGCATCTGAAGAATTAGAAAAGCAGGAGTATTGCATTAATAGATTCCCCTTTAAGTTAAGTTTGTGATCTCACTCGCTTAATCCCCAAAATCACCTACCTACCTTTGTTATTACTCGATTATACCTAGTAGTTATCCAATATTCAATGCACATCAATCATAAATCTAAAAATGTGCAGCTCAAGTGAGCTGCGTAGCACGAAAGACATGTTATGCTAAATCTCCAAGATAAAAGGATTAGCTCGTCCGAGTGGGCAAGATGAGGAAGATCCCAAAGGTTTTATCGTGGGGAGTGGTGATGTGATGTGATGTGATGTGATGTTGGAGGTAGAGTGGTGTGTGTGTGTGACTTGGGAGTGGGAGAGGTATGTTGTCTGCGCTTGTTCTTGTGGATACGGATATTGGGCTGGTTAGTTGGATGTGGATGTGGATATGGATGTGTGGTGTTTTGAGATGAGATGCGGGTTGGATGTTTGGATGTTGGATGCTGGACGCTGGATGCCTAGTTGTAGATTTATAGTTGTGATCATAAGGGAGCAAGTCAAGTAGACCTTGGTTTCCCTTCGATCTCATAGTTATTTACTATACCAAGCATTGGCTCCTCTTCACACTACTAGAAGAGTCTATATATATACAACTTGAGGCCTAGATCCAGAAGTAAACAACGCACGGAAATCCGTCTTCTCATGGAGAAATAGCATTATTTGAGCATATGATATATCTCTAGCTGAAATCCTATACCATCACTCAACACGCATCACAAATTTCACATCAGTCACACTCACTCATCCCAGTCACATTTGCACCGTCGCTCAAGCATTTCATCTACCGGTACGGTACCTAGGCTTCACTACCTACATCAGCTTATATATGTAAAATGTCTTCCTCTGGTCAACACGTGCAAATTAGCCAGGCTCATGTGCATTTTGAGAAATTGTGCCGACAGTTTGTAGAGAGAACTTGGGGTTGTGTTTTTGGGGATCTTTGTTTTGTTGTTTTCATTTCCTGTTGTTTAGTTTGTACGGATTTCTATTTCTTGAGAGGAGTGGAGGAGTTTGTGTTGGTGTTGGGATCGAATTATGTAGTTGCTACTCACATATGTGGGGGGGATGTGTGGACCTTCGAAGACTCGAAGATTTGAAGAGAGCGCCAACATATGTTGGTGGGTAAGGAAGGAAGGCTCACTAGAGTGAGTTAATGTTTCATCTGCTTGTTTAGAAAGTTTGTCCGGGTCTCGTCTTTTGCTTGTGTTGGCTGGAATTAAACATAATTAAACACAATTGAGATTATGTCTTGAAGCTCTGAAGGCAAGGACTTTGAAAAAGTAACGTGTTCGCAAGCCTAGATGAAGAGTTCTCTTATCTCTGAATTGGCACATCTACTCAGTATATCCTTACTTGGTGTATTTTGGGATTAAGTATTCCTCTACTCGAGCATTGTTAGTATAACAATCGCTGTCGATTTTTCCATTCGAATTCATATCAATTATTTTGTTACTTTGGCTTTTATCATTCTCATATCTCAGCTCACACATATGATTCTTGTGACTGGAAATATTGTAATTTAGCAGAGGACCAAAGAAAACCTTGAAGCCGTTCACGGATACTGTTCTACTCTCTCCTCATCAGCGGTTGATGTGGTATTCCTGTTTGGCTGTGTGTCTATCCTTCTCTTATCGTTACAAATTACAATTTATATAGAAGGGAGAGGCGAGATGAGCGGGACTACTGTTGTATTGTAGAACTTTAGTGGAGACGTTAGAAATTTGGATTGGCGACGTATGGTTTGTCCATGGGTATTCACTTTATGTGTCGGGCCGAGACCTTCCTCTGGGGTATTTAAGGCATTTGGGAGTTTGAAGATCTTTTTGCAATCTCATACCCATGGCGAACTGGAGGAACTGGGGAACAGGACTTTCTCCGGGTAGATGGGTGCCTTCGCACACTACACTTATTTCTAAACCTCTTATAGATATCTTTCATACCTATACCTCTGTGAATGCCCCACACAGAAAGAGAAGCACAACACAATACGAGAAACTAAGAACTCTCACCGCCGTCGTCGTATCGTTGTCACAACTTCCCATTTCACCAATGTGATTTCCTCGACTTCGTATAACCATTGCCAGATGTCCGAGGAGCATACTCGCAAACTCTACAGCTCGGTGGGTATGTACCTCGTAACCTTGCTTGTTTTAATCTATGCCAAATTTAGTCGATGGGATGGCCTCTGCGTTCATATGATTTCAGAAATGGCAAGAATTAAATCGCGGCTGTGTG